AGAGAGAGATAGAGTATGAGTAGCAAAGGGGCAGAGAGAGAGGGAGACACAGAATCTGAAGCAGGCTCTAGGCTCTGAGCTGTGAGCACAGAGCCCAATGTGGGGCTCGAACTCACGAAGCACGAGATCACAATCTGAGCCGAAGTTGGACGTTCAACTGACTGAGCCACCAGGCGCCCCCATCAGTGACTTTTAAAGTCTGAACTCATTCTTCACTCCTTCCTCCCTACACCTTCTAGGTATATGGTGTCATATTTTATATCGTTTTATTCTGTGAATCCTCTGATTTTTATGGAGATATTTTTATTGCTATTGTGTTTTTACTTTTCATATTTTTTACTTATTCTTTCCTTCCCAAAGAATCCCCTTTAATATTTCTTCTAGGGCTGGTTTAATGGTCATGAAATCCTTTAGTTTTTACTTGAGTAACACTTTTTCTCTTCTCCTATTCTGAATGGTTGTCTTGCTGGTGAGAGTATTCTTGGCTGCATATTTTATCCTTTCAGCACTTGGAATATACCGTGCCACTCCCTCTGGCCTGCAAAGTTTCTGCTGAATAATTTGCTTATAGCCTTGTGGGGTTTCTCTTGTATGTAACTGTTGTCTTTTCTCTTGCTGCTTTTAAAATACTTTCTTTATCAGGAGGCCTAGGTGGCTCAGTTGGAGAAGCGTCTGACTCCTGATTTTGGTCAGGTCATGATCTCATGGTCATGAGATTGAGCCCCACTTTGGGCTCCATTCTTTATTCTCTCATTTATTTAGCCTGATGGCTTTCCATTACTCTGTCTTCCAGGTCATTAATTAATTCCTCTGCTTCCTCTAGCCTACTATTCATTTCATTAAATGCATTTTTAATTTCATTGTGTTCTTCATCTCTGATTCTTTTTTATCATTGTGTTAAGGGTCTCACGGATGTTCTTCACACTTTTCACAAGTCTAGTGAGTATCTTTATGACCATTACTTTAAATTCTCTATCTGGCATACTACTTATATCTCTGTTTCATTTCGGTCTCTTGCTGTGGTTTTGTCCTATTCTTTCACTGGGGACATATTCCTCGGTCTCATTTTGTCTAACTCTGTATCTGTTTCTGTGTGTTTGGAAAGTCAGCTATGTCTCTTACACTTGAAAGTAATGACATTACTTAGAAGTGTTTCTGTAGTGCCTTATAGTACAGTGTCCCCTCTTCACCAGGACCTGGTGCTTCAGGTATTTCTTATATGTGTTGTGCATGTCCTGTTGTGTCCTAGCTACTTTTTCCTTCAGTGCAGTCATCTGCAGCAGTTCTCTTGGCCTATTGTGGGTAGTGTTTGGTCTCCAGCCAGGATAGAGGTACGTTTTAACAAGGTACGTGCGGGGCGCCTGGGTGGCTTAGTCGGTTAAGCATCCGACTTTCGCTTGGGTCATGATCTCACGGTTCGTGGGTTCGAGCCCCGCGTCGGGCTCTGTGCTGACTGCCAGGTCAGAGCCTGGAGCCTGTTTCAGTCTGTGACTCCCTCTCTCTCTGACCCTCCCCTGCTCACGCTCTCTCTCTCCCCTAGAAATAAATAAAACATTAAAAAAAAAAAAAAAAAAACCAACAATGTATGTGCCAGTCTGCTTGTGAAATGAGACCTGCTGCCACTGTGTCCCGGACAGACCAGCCCAACGGGATCTGCAAAGTACACATGGATGGGGCACTCGACCTTAACAAGGCACCCCTCAGCCTTCAGCAGGGCCTTGCTGCAGCTGCCGCAGAGACAGAGGCCCTGCAGAATGCAGCGATGGGGAGATGCAGTGCTGGTGAGATCTGTGCCTATTTTCTTGAAAGACCTTTGATGTTGTTATTGTAACTGTTAGGAAACACACCTACAGAAGGCAGCAAACTTGATTAACATATGTGTTCTGACTGTACCACTGACTGGCTATTCCCCCATCTCTCTTCCTTAGGCTTCTGTATTCCATGAGACACAACAATAATGAAATTAGACCATTCAATAACTCTACCGTGAATGGCCTTTGAAGGTTCAAGTCAAAGGAAGAGTCACATGACTCTCACTTTAAATCAAATGCTAGAAATGATTAAGCTTTGTGAGGAAGGTGTGTTGAAAGCCAAGACAGGCTGAATGCTAGGCTTCTTGTGCCAAAAAAGAGTCAAGTCATAAATGCAAAAGAAATTAAAAGAGCTACTCAGGTGAACAAATGAACGATAAGGAAGTAAAACAGCCTTATTGCTGATATGGAGAAAGTTTTAGTGATCTAAATAGAAGATCAAACCAGCAACAATGTTCTCTTAAGCCAAAGTCTAATCCAGATCAAGGCCCTAACTCTCTTTAATTCTATGGCTGACAGAGGTGAGGAAGCTACAAAAGACAAGTCTGAAGCTAGCAGAGGTCAGTTTGTGAAATTTAAGGAAAAAAGCTTTCTCAAGAACATAAAAGTGCAAGGCAAAATAGCAAGGTTATCCAAACGATCTAGCTAAGATAATTAATGAAGGTGGTGGCTAAATAGCAGGTTTTCTATGTAGATAAAACATCCATCTATTGGAAGAAGACACCACCTAGGACCTTCAAAATCTCAAAAGATAGGCTTACTCTTTTTGAAAGGTGGCTTTGTAGCTGGTGACTTTGTTGAAGACAATGCTCACTGACCAATCTGAAAACCTGAGGGCTTTTAAGAATTATGTTAAGTCAACTCTGTTTATGCTCTAGAAACAGAACAATAACAACAAAGGTTGGATGACAGCACATCTGCTAACAACATGGCTTATAGAATATTTGAACCCCATTGTTGAGACCAAGCATTCAGAAAAAAGATTACTGTTTATTGACAGTGCACTTGGTCCATCTGACGGAGATGTACACTGACACTCATGTTCTCATGCTTGCTAACATAACATCCATACTGCAATCCACGGATCAAGGAGTCATTTCAACTTTCAAGTTTTAATATTTATTTAAGAAACACATTTCATTAGGCAGTAAGTGCTATGAACAGATTCTTCTGATGGATTTAGGGAAAGTAAACTGAAAACTTTCTGGGAAGGATTCACCATTCTAGATGTCATTAAGAACAGTCATTGTTCATGGGAAATTACCAGGAGTTTGAAAGAAGCTGATTCCAACTAACACTTATGAATGACTGAGGGGCTCATGACTTGAGTGTAGGAAGTAACTGCAGATATGGTGGAAACAGCAAGAGACTAAAGATGGGACTCAATTGCTGGCAATCTACTGATAGAACCTGAATGAATGAGGAGTTGCTTCTTAGGTATGAGCAAAGAAAATGGTATCTTGAGATTGAATCTACACCTGGTGAAGAATGTTGAAATAATAACAAAGGATTTAGAATATTACATAAACTTAGTTGATAAAGCAGGGACAGAGTCTAAGAAGACTGACACCAGTTGTGAAAAGCGTGTTACTGTGGGTAAAATGCTGATCAAATAGCACAGCACGTTACAGAGAAATCATACATAATCAATACAGCAAACTTAATTGTTTTATTTTAACCAGCCTTCAGCAATCACCCTGATCTGTCAGCAGCCATCATCATCATGGCAAGACCCTTCACCATCAAAAAGACTATAACTTGCTGAAAGGTGATGGCAGTTAGCATTTTTTAGCAATAATTTATTTTTTATTTTAGAGAGAGAATGAGAGCTTGAGTGGGGGAGAGGGGCAGAGGGAGAGAGAGAACTTTTAAGCAGGTTCCACGCTCAGCGCAGAACCAACACGGATTCAATCCCATGACCCTGGAATCATGACTTGAGTCAAAATCAAGAGTTAAACACTCAACCAACTGAGCCACACAGGCGCCATAGCAATAAAGTACGGTAATTTTAAATTAGGGTGTATACATAGTGTTTTTTAGATATCACACATAGTAGACTACAGTATAATGCAAACATAACTTTTACATACGCTGGGAAATGCACTTGCTTTATTGTGCTGGTCTGCAACTGCACCCACGGGATCTCCTAGGGATGCTTATGCTAGTGTCCAGCTGCTCGTGCAGTTGATGGAGAAAGCCTTGGATAGGTTCTCTTGCTAGAACTTAAATGCACCCCAAGGCCTTGGCATTGGAGACACTAGTTACTCAGTCAATATTCATTCTCCCTTTCTTTCTTAAACCTCAATTCTGTTTGAGGAGACAATACTGAACAGCTACACATCCTCACTTCCTCAGATTCCCCTGCAGCTATGGGTAACCTTTTGACTCTGTTCTGGCCAATGGCTTTGGAAGGAGCTTCAGAGAAAACTATGGTTTTCCTGATAAAATGGGAGAGATTCTGCCAAAAGACAGTTTTTGTTGTTGTTTTGCTTTTTACTCTGCTTTTTCCTGCCTGAAACACAGACGGGAAGCTTGGAAGTAGGGCCCGCATTTCCCAGTGACGAGGATGAAAGCCATATCCAAAGGCTGGTGCAGGAGGAAGCCATAGGGAGACTTTATCATTGACTTTCTCAAACAGCTGCACCAGCCCAGTTCCAGATTTCTTGTTATGAAAAAAAAAAAGAAACTCCTATTTAGTTTAGACTTTGTAAGGGGTCTCTGATATATGCAGCCAAACCAATTCTGACAAAGCTCTCACTTAGGTCCAGATGCCCCTAGCTTTTAGCAGCCATGTGAATCAGAAACGGCAAAGAGCCTGGGGAGGAAGGGAGGTGCATTTAGATTCCATGTTCCCTGAAAACTCCTGACACTGAAATGTTGAGCGAAGTTTATCTTCAACATTCATTCATTTACTAAGCATACGTTAAGTGCCAACTCTGTGCCAGTCACTGAAGTGGGTGCTGGAAACAAAACAAAAATCTCAACCGTGGCTTTTCTTCATGAAAACTGCTTTTGCTGATACAGGCTGTTTTCTGACCTTCCTCCCACATCGTAAGAAGCCACACAGGGGACAGGTTTTGGCTTTGGCTTAGGTACTATAATGCCACAGCATCTTCCCACGGTTTTCAACATCATAGAAGGAAACAAACAGGTTACTTTCTAACTCAGAGCAGAGGTTCCTTCAAGTACCTTCAAGTGCATCATCCTCCAGGTCTGCCAGAGTTGGGGCGTTAGGGAGTGAATACACAGAAGACTGGTTGAGCTGAGTCAGTTTTGAGATGCTGTTAATAGCCATGCTGCCCAAGGGAATGGTGTGCTCTAGGGAAACATTAGCAAAGAGAAAAAAGCCTTGTTACCACGATCATCATAAGGACTTCTGCTTGAGTAACTTAAGCCCAACTGTTGTTTGATCCCAGGGCTGAGGAATCTGACAGAAAGGAAGAAAGAAGATCAGTGGACTGACTGTGTGCCCCAGAGCAACAACCTTTCATGTAAAAAAAAAAAAAAAAAAAGCAATGAGTCATGGGTGAAGAGACCTCCACTCCATACATTAGGGCAGAGTATTAAAGGAATTTAAAAAGGGGAAGCTCAGAAAAACTCGGAAATCTGGGCTAGGGACCCTGTTTGAAGAGCAAAGGACCTAAAAATGTTTCTGCTCTCTCCTTCCCTTTGCATGAAGGGTTATACTCCCCAAAGAAGCAACAACTTGATCATATAACTGACCCATTCTTCTCCTCATCTAAGCTTTCCACAGTGGAAGATAGCTCTCCCTCTATTTGTCATTTTTCCTTAGTCCTTGCAGAGAACTTGGTGGCCTTCTTGCCCGATTCTAGTCTTCTGTGATTAGGCTATCAATAAGAAACAGGCAACCATATGTCTTCCTTCTCTATTATCTAGAATTCTTGTCATATAGGATGATGGACACTGGATGGCACACCAAGACTTAGAAATCTGACCGCTGAAGAAACTGAAGGCAGTAAAAAAACTGGTATACAGACTATGCAAAGTCCAAGCAGAACAGACCAAGAGGTAAATATGAGAAGCTGCCTCTGTTGTCTTCTCTGTTTTTGACTTTAGCTCTTCAGGAAAGGACAGAAATGGGGACTGAACTGGGGATTGCATAAAATGACTAGGATTGGGAAGATTAGATATTAGAATAATGAACTAGGACTTATTCATGAAAACCTCGTGAAATGTTTCTTCTCTGGGGGCGCTTGTGAAGAGGTTAGTCTGTCTTCATGATGGGGGCAAGGGAAAATCTGACTGTCGGTATAGTCTCTCTCTTACTCCAGACTGCAAAGGCCATGGCCATGCTACAAAGAAGGGCTCTGATGCTGGTGACAAGAATGATTTCAGGCCAATGGAGGAAATATTCCAAGCTAAAAGCTCATGTTAACTGCTCAGTAATGAGCTACAACAAATGTCTCTGGTCAGGTATGTGTGTGTTTGTGTGGCGGGGTTGGTGGGGGATGGAGGAAGGCTTTGAGAATCACCAAAAAGAACTCAGGAGGCAGAGGAAATTAAAGAAGTCGGGTCTGCAGATCTGCTGTGCAATACAAATTACTGCATTCTTAGTGACTGTATGGGGAGGTACAGGGTGCTTCCTGAGGACCAAAGTAGATATGGGGAGGTGGCTACAGGTCAGAGACAATAAAGGCCTCTTCTGGCCAGGGAGGTCTGTGGCAGGAATGGCTAGAACAGGGTTTCCTGGCTTATGGAATATAGGAGTCTTCACTTAAATGTGCATCACCGCATTTCATGTGTACATAGTACCTGTAATATCTGACTTCTACCAAGTTATGAGTTCCCACTTCTGCAACATGAATGTCTGTCCCAGACACAGTTAATACTAAGGATGACAGCTACAGAAGTGAGGTGGCTGGTAACTTATGCTGGGGAGTTGTGGAGCGAAGTTAAAGATCTGGTGTGAGGATCACAGCTCTGAGGTCATTGCCAAGCTGGGAATGAAGGAAGCTGTCCCTCTTATTTCATTGTTTTTTCATTTTTTTTTTTTTTTTTTTTTTTGACAGGGCAGAAGGATGGAGAGACTCTTAAGCAATGCGCTGAGATCATGATCTGAGCTGAGATTAAGAGTTGGACACTTAGCAGCCATCCGGGTGCCCCAGGGGGTTGCCCCTCTTATGACCATTAGCAGCTGTCCCTTCCCTCATTCTGGAGGAGACTGCTCTGAGGTGGAGTCATCAGAGTTCTTCAGTTTGAAGTGGTACAAGAATTTTGTGTAGCGATTAATGTTTTCCACCAGCTTGTTCCAAAAGGAAGCCTCTAGACGGAGTTTCCAGTTAAGTACCAGTTAGACTCTGGCAGAGTGGGTGGTGGGTAAAACAATGGTGGTATGTATCAGCTTTGGGAGAGAATTCTAGATTCTGGACATCATGCTTTAGGAGAACTCCTGAAAACTACCCAGATACCCAATCTTGCAGCCGGGGAAATGTTACCCTATAGCAAGAAGGTTGTCTCACCATCCAGCTTCACACTCCATGTCATGTGGAAGCCGTTAGTCATCAGGTAAAAATTCTTCACATCCTCAGGTAGCATGCAGTTATTTTTCTAGAATCACAAAGCAGCTGAGTGTTAAGTCAGGGCAGAGAAAGGACACAAAGCTATGCCCCAAAGCAAATGGGGATACGATTTACCATGTTTCAGATCCCCCAAATAGGAAGATTCTGATAATTATCTATAAACTCGATTACTGAGTTCAAGATGGCAACACCGGAGGCCCCTGAACTCACCTCCCACAGACACATCAAATCCACAGGTACTTATTGAACAATTTCCTCTGAAAGAAAATCAGAAATTGACTTAGCAACTCCTACGCACTGGGTGAATGAGAAAAAACCCACATCAAAATGCACAGGAGGCTGAGACATAATTCACATAAACCCCAGCACTGGTGCAGCAACACACAATCAGGAGAGAACTTACAAACCCCATCTTCCCTCAAAGGGTGACTGGTTTGAACTCTGTATCTGGCACACCGACTTTTATGCTCTGCATGTGAGAGAGAAACTCTCCAAATATCTAGCTGTGATAGCCAAAGGGCTTACTCCACAAATCCGCAAGGCTACAGCAACTGAGAAATGGTTCTCCAAGGATGCATGCATGAGGGTTTACATTTCCAGGGCCTAGCGCAGAGGCAGCCAACCAAGAAGTGCCCAGACTTTCGGTGGAAGACGCTTATTTGCTTATCCAGCAGCATCAGCCTGAGTGGCAGTTACCTAATTTAGCACACATCTAGGGGTGACAAAAATACTCTGCAGAGAATGGGGAGGCTGGGTAGCACCATCTTCATGCTCTCTGCCTTGCCCCAGCTCAGCAAGTATCTCCCCGAAAAGAGCTTATGCACCCAAATGATGCACTGGCTTTTGCACACTCCTTGATTACTTGGCTCTGGTGGCCAAGTGGCTTACGTTTCCAGGTCCCACAGAACGGTGACAAACTGTTCTGAATCGGCTATCCCACCGCCGCACTGTACAGAGGCAGCAGACAGAAAAGCCCAGTCTTTCCATGAAAGTCGCTGATTTGTAGATCTTTAAAAACTGTGGCCTAAGGGTCTCTCCTCTGCACAGACTTGGGAGGCCAGTGGGCACCATGTCACACTCCCCCTCTGCCATGCTCCGTGTCACCGGTGTCTCTGTGACAGCACCTATGTATATGTATGGCACACCAGCTTTTTTGGTTGTTGCCCCAAAGGACACAGCACTCAATAGCCTGGCTCTGGTGGCCAGCAGGGATTGTGTTTACGGGTTCAAGGATGGTAAGCAAACAGTTTATGACTGGCTATCCACCCAGGGCGCAGTGTAGAGGGAACAGAGAAAAACAGCCCGTTTATAATCTTTCCCTGAAAGATGTGTACAGTTGACCCTTAAACAGTACAGGTTTCAAACGTGCAGGTCCACTTATGTGGATTTTGTCCCCAATAAATACAATAAGTACTGTAAATGTATTTTCTAATTTCTTGAATAAGATTTTTTTTCTCTAGCTTTATTGTAGGAATACTGTGTATTGTAAGGCCACAAGTCTAAACGTCCAAACCAAACTGACTCCATGACAGGCTTTAAGTTTCCCCTCTGAACTAGAAGGCCTGAGTTTCAGCTGTCCGTAAACTATCAGGCAGTTACACATTGCCCAAGCCAGAAGAAACCACCCTTGCAACACCCAATCAGGAAAGTCCAGCGGCCACTCTCCCCATTACTAAGGGAGAGGCCTGGAGATAGAAACTATCTAGATAGATAGATAGGACTCTGTTACCTAATGTTAAAGTTAACCTGTTAGTCACCGAACAAGACCCTAGGCTCGCTCTGTGATTGGTTGAATTTAAAGGTACTCTAAATGTTGTAATTGGATCTCGCCAAAAGTAACGAATACTCTAGACAATGTGTATGGTCAAACCTACTGTCAATGATGTTGAATCATTATGACTGGATCACTGTTCCCATGTCACAACTTCTGTAACTCCCCTGTCTCAAACCCCATAAAAACCCTACTCTGCCCTTGTTCGAGGCTCTCAGCACAGATCCATACGCTGGTGAAGTCTGGGAGTCCGAGCTTAAGCCCGTAATAAAGCCCTTTGCTTTTGCATACGTGACTCGGACTCCTTGGTGGTCTTGGGATTTTGGGGAGATCGTGATCTGGACATAACAGTATAATACATAAAACATACAAAATATATGTTAATTGTGTTTTCAGTAAAGCCTCTTATCAACAGAAGTTTTGGGGAGTCAAGTTGTATGTAGATTTTCCACTTTGCAGAGGTGTGGGTACTCTTAACCCCCTCATTGTTCAAGGATCAACTGTATTTATATACTTTAAACGCTGCCGCCTGAGGGTCCAGCTTCCACTCAGCCTCCTGTAGGTGCTGACAGAGGTTCTCTTTGGAACACTGAAGGCTGGGCAAACCCTCCACCACTGGGAGTCATTAAGGACAAAGAAGGCTCCCTATACAATCACAAAGGTTTGGGAGACAACAAAGAACAAGGGCACAGTAGAACAACAAAGTTCATCTCCCACGTTAGACCCTGCCTTTAAGACTGGAAGAGGTGGGTGTTTTACCTGATACACAGAAACCAAGGAAGGAAAAAAGGAAGAAACAGAGTAATAATACAATCTGAACAGAAGAACATAAAACCTCAGAAAGACCATAATGAAATGGAGATAAGTGATTTACTTAAGAGTTCAAAATAACACTCATAACTATACTCACTTTGAGCTCAAAAGAGGGCATGAACAAAGTAAAAATTTCAACAAAGAGATGTACAATATAAAAAAGTAACACATCAAAGTCACAGAGCTGAGGACTGAACCGAAAAATACACTAGTGGGGTTCCACAGCAGACAAAGTGAAGTGGAAGAAGGTTCAGTGACCTCAAAGACAGAGTAGTGGAACTCATTTAATCAGAGCAGCAAAAAGAAAGAAAGAAAAAAGAAACTTTTAAAAGAGTGAAGATACCTTTAAGGACTTATGAAAGAACACGGAGTAGACAAATATTAGCACCAAAGGGTCCCGGGAGGAGGAGAGAGAAAGGGGAAAAAAACTTGAAGAAGAAATAATGGCTGAAAACTTTCCCAACCTGGAGAAGGAAAGAGACATCACAAATCCAGGAAGTGCAGAGTTCCAAACAAGTTGAACCAGAGCCCCACCCCAAGACACATAATTGTTTAAGGAAAAGGAGAATCTTAAAGGCAGCAAAAGAAGCGGCACCCAGGTGGCTCAGTTGGTTAAGCTTCTGACTTTGGCAGAGATCATGATCTTATCATGGTTCTGAAGAGCCAAAAATTAAGTCCTCCATTAAGAGCAACCTCGGGCTGCACATAGCCCCAGTCCCAGTCCCAGAAGAAGCCTCATCCATTGTTCAAGGCTAAAGCCATCCTCAGACCGCCCTCAGTTCAGCTAATCAAAAAGTAAAAAGAAACATTCCTATGGTCTGAGTCAAGGCTGGGAACTGCAGATACAAACTAGCCAATTTCTCACTGCTTGCCTGAACCCCACGTGGGCCCTTTGAACTCACCTCATAATTGGTCATTTTCAAAGGATTCTCAAAAGTCATGACTGGGTCCCACCAAAAGTAATGAACACCTCACAGATACTGAATGGTCAAAGCTGTAATTGTAATTGGTGCTTATGTGATGATGCTACATGTACTGTAACACCCCCATCCCTTACTCCTTAAAAACCCTGTTCGCTATTGTTCTTCACTTCACCTTGCTGCCATGACACCGGTAGTCTGGTGAGCCCCTGCTTGAGCTTGTAATAAAGACCCTTTTGTACTTGCATCGGTGCCGGCTCCTTGGAGGTGTCTGGGACTCGCGATTTGGGCAAAACAGTTCATGGATTGGAGCCCAGATCTTCTGTCCCCCTCTTTCTCTGCCCCTCCCTTGCTGGTTCTCTCTCTTAAAATAAATAAACTTGAAAAAAAGATTGAGGTTGTTTAAAAAAAAAAAAAGGCAAGAGAAAAATAACTTTTTAACCTACAAGGGAACCTCACAAAAGACTATGAGACTTTCTCAGCAGAAACTTTTGCAGGCCGGAATGGAATGGCACAAAATATTCTAAGTGCTGAAAAAAACAAACTGCCTAACAAGAATACTCTGTTCAGCAAAACTATTCTTCAGAATTTAAGTAGTGATAAAGAATTTTCCAGACAAGCAAAAGCTACAGGACTTCGTCACCACTACACTGGCCTTATAAAAGAAGTGTTAAAGAGACATCCTTAAGTGGAAAAGGAAAGCCACAATGAGAAGCATGAAAAGTATGAAAGGAAAAAAATCTCACTGGTATCAGCAAGCATATATTAAAAGTAGTACATCAACTACTTATAAAGCTAGTATAAAGGTTAAAAGACAACAGTAGTAAAAGCAAATATATCTACAATAATGAGTTAAAGGATAAACAAAATATTATGAAATATGACCTAAAAATTATATAACATGGGGGGGAGGGTTATAAAGATGTAGCGCTTGTAGAATGTGTTTGAATTTAAGCAACCATCAACTTAAAACAGACTGCTAGTATTATTCAGAAACTCCATGATAACCAAAAACTAAAAACCTTTGATATGCAAAAAGTAAAGAGAGAGAAATCCAAACATAATACTGAAGAAAATCATCAGGTCACAAGAGAACAGGAAAGGAACATAACAGAATTACAAAACAGTCAGAAAACAACTGTGGCAGTAAGTAAATACCTATCAATAATTATACTTTAGAGGAACTGGGGAAGATGGTGGAGGAGGAGGACCCTGAGCTCACTCTGTCCCACGTTTACAACTAGATATCATCTACATCTAAGTCAATAAACCAGAGAGTGACTGAAAGGCTGGCAGCAGCAACTCCACAACAGAAGAGAAGCTGCATCTGAAAGGTTAGGAAGGTGAGATGGGCAAGGGAGGCTGCCCTCAAGGGAGAGGGAGGTGCATGCAGGGACAGAGCAGGGAAATGGGCCCTTGCACCAGGGAGCTCATATAGGAAGACAAATCCTCTTAACATTTGGCTTTGAAGACCAGAGGAGCTGAACTGTGTGAGTCTGTATAACCAGCAGGACTTGGAGCCTG